TACGCGACAAGGAGAATATTCTAGCGATTCCAAGAACCCTCACAAAATTACGTCAGAATTTTTTCCCTTATTCGCTACTCAACCATGTGGAACAGACTGCCAGTGAACCTCCATTGCAGTGAAACTACGACCCGGTTCAAAAGTCTCCTTGATGATTTTCTTTCCGAAAGTGGATTATGTCACCTATTGAACATCAATGTATTCAATAATGATTTATACAAACAAGGTCCGTCATCCATTTAGCTGCCTGAAAAGCAAAATAAAACCTTTAGATCTTTCCACATCTATTTTATTTTATTTCTATTTATCTTAATATATGAAATCTGCTTATGTTCGTGTTTATCATTATTACCGTTATTAATATCATTATTACTTCCCCGACACTTCAGATATTCTTTTTATCTCTCCTTATCCTTCTAAACATATTTAACTCCAGATTGTCCTTTGAAATCAATTGTGACTTTCATAGCAATAATCTTAATTATTATTGCACAAATATTTATACTAATATCCGGTTTCACTCTGTACACTATTACATAAATCTAAATGTATTCATCCGAGTGCATTGAAGGATTTTTATTTTATTTTTGCAATTGCTGGTTTCCTTCTGAGGTTGCTATTCATTACACAATTATTATTCTTATCATGAATCAAAACTTTTCACTAGGTGTTCACTTCTTTTCACTCCATTCTTTCCCTCTAACTAAATATTATTCTTAAGATTACGAGGCTTGTAATTAAGACAATAACTTGTGGTACACTTAAATTAAATTCTCAAACCCGTTTTATCTTCACTATGCATATATGACTACTCATACATATTGATATTTCGTTATCCTTCTCACTTAATTGAGACTTTCATAGCATCACTCTTAACTATGGCTGCACAAACATTTATATTCTAGCGTCATATCTTACTGCAATTATAAGTTATTTTTTCTTACTAATTTGACGATACACACATAGTCGTTTGTTCTTGTTTTATGTTCATAAACACGCCTATTAAACTGTTTGTGTACTTCACGTCTCCTTTATTTCTATTCCCTGATTTTCTCCATTTCCTTCTTTAAACTCAATTCAATATTCTTCTCAATTACACAGACTCGATTTATTATTATTAATATTCTACTATTATTGCTCAAATTTTTTTTTATTTTTTAAATGGCCAGTAGAATGCTGACATTATTGAAAATTGTGTATTATTGCATTTTTTTTGAAGAAACCCGAAATGGTTTCTTCACAACACTTATGTACCCATAAGATGTTTGTGAATAATAATAATAATAATAATAATAATAATAATAATAATAATAATAATTGACCCAATAGGTAGTCAGGACATTGCTCTTGCAGTATAACTCTCATGACTACACTCTAGCTGAACCAATTATTATCAGTCATCCATACAATATGTTGGAAATTACCGATAGTACCATGTGACTAAACCTTATTTGATGTATATGACGGTTCATGCATCTTTTTTTGTCGTATAACTAGAACCTATAGCATATATGGCTTTTGTTTATTATTATTATTATTATTATTATTATTATTATTATTATTATTATTATTATTATTATTCACAAACATCTTATGGGTACATAAGTGTTGTGAAGAAACCAATTCAGGTTTCTTCAAAAATGCTCTAATACACAAGTTTCAATAATGTTAGCGTTATATTTGCCATATTTGAAAAAGGGGATAATATTAATAATAGAATAATAATAAATCATGTTCTGTGTAATTGAGAAGAATATTGAAATGAATTTAAAGAGGAAAAGGAAGAAAACAAGGGAATAGAAATAAAGGAGACGTCAAATACGCAAATAGTTTAATAGGCGTTTTTATGAGCACAGAATAAGAATAGACGACTATGTGTGTATGGTGAAATTGGTAACAAAAATAAAATAGACAATAATTAAGAAAAAATAATTTATTATTGCAGTAAGACATAACGCTAGAATAAGTGTGCAGTCACATAGTTTGGAGTGATGCGATGAAAGCCACAATTAAGTGAAAAGGATAACCAAATATCAATACGTATGAGTTACTTGTGCATAATGAAGATAAAATGAGTCTGAGCAGTTAATTTATGTGTAACACAAGTTATTGTCTTAATTAGAAACTTCGTAATCTTAAGAATAATGTTTATTTGGAAGGAAAAAAAGTTAGAGAAACGAAATGAGCATCTAGTGAAAGGGTTCAACCATGGTAATAATAATAATAACTATGTAATGAATATTGACCTCTGAAGTAAACCAACAATTTAAAAAATAAAATGAGATAAAAAAAAAGAAAAATCCCTTACTGCACTCGGATAAATACATTTAGATTTATGTAATAGTATACAGAGTGAAACCGGATATTAGTATAGACATTTGTGCAATAATGCTTAAGAATATTGCTATGAAAGTCACAATGAATTGCAAAGGATCATCAAATACAAATCTCTATGTCCTATATATATATATATATATATATATGGCATCTACATCAATATGAAGGGGCTTCCCAGTCGACCTGATGTAGACCGGCCTGTAAAGCTAATACATTCAACCGCTTACGATTCCGAAGCCTATTGTTAGTACGATATCTTGGCTTGATTTGTTTGATAAAATTGCAATCTTTGACGGCTAGGTCACCTTTAGACAAGAGATTCAAGAGTTGTCAGGTTGTCAGTTAGGAAATATTCGTTCGTAGATATACAATCAAAGCGTGACGGCGTCTGGCTGTTTCTCCACCGAGTTGCTGACTTCACATTTCCTGATAACCACAGATCTTCAATAAATTTAAATAACCGAGCTTAAGTAGAGTTGAAACTTCCACTGTACGTGTGTTCAGCGAAGTTGACTTTAAAAAGATTCAAGTCTCCCAGATTAAGAATATGAAACTATCCGAGACGAGTTGCGTGGGATAATCCCTCATGCATACGATTTTCGCACTCGATGCCATTAGTAGGCCTCTCAGAGATGACTCTTACTGGACACCTTGAGGTGTTAGACTGAGCACTATGCACATTCATCAGGGTTAATAAATTCCCGAGTGTACACTTGATGTGCTACCAAGAAATATCGTAGCTACAGGGTCACACCGCCACCAATTTCTGTTTTTTTGTCTTTGTGAAACAAAAACATGTCAAGTATTGCTAGCTCCTGATCTGTATTTTGAGATTTTCATGTTTCAGGTATTTATACCATATGAATACCACTAGCACTACTTAGTCCACATAATTCATTCATTTTCGTGGGTAAACCCACGGCGTTCATACATAAGCAGCTAATGATGTCGATCTTAAATGTATGAGCTTTCTTGTCCTATTCATCTGAATGAGCCCTATATGAGTGGACAAACAACCTACCTACACAGGATTTTCCGAGCCAGCAATCTCCATCCCTTCCAGGCTTTTCATTGTTCTTGACGGTCCACAAGTAGAATAACAAGTTCCAGCTTCATTTTGTGCCTGACCATTACATCTTGTGGTATGTTCGGATGGATATACATTGCGGTTGGTAACAGACGTCTGTTGACATGAAATACTTCCAGAGTGGCGGTCGTCATTTGGGAGGATGAGAAAGTTATCTTTATTAGCTAAGGTTCAGGATCCCTGTCCCTCTTGGCTAGTCGCACTACGTGTTCAGTGCTTGATGAAGTTACTCTCGATTATCAGAGTCTGCGTAGTCAGGGTTCGTGTTTTCTGGAAAACCCCGCAAAACTATATTTTTTCAGCGAAAGAATGTATTGCGTGATAGTTTAGGGACGTCTCTAATGAGGTTGTGCCCAGAACTTGGAATATTAGGCAGTAACCTCATATAACCCGATTTCAGCAAGTAACTTGCCAGCTGAATATCCTCTACAACAGCCATGTTCGTGATAGCAAAAATGATTTCTTTGAAGTCGTGGTCGACTGAATAAGGATGGTGCAACTCTTATTCATACCTTAGTGACCAAGCTGTTCATCAACAGAACACGATGTCTCTTGATGTTTTGATTTAGAGTCATAAGTACCTTGACTCCGGAGCAATTCATGACCGGTTTTAATGCTTATTGAAGACTTTGTCCGGAAAAACCTCAGAATTCATGTTCCCTTATCTCCATGAAGACATTATTCTCGTGGATTTAGTTTAAATAAAAGTATAATGTCATCTACATGAAAGGATTTTTGTAACGACGGAACCAAAGACCACTTTTTTCCTTCATTTGTAGCATTATGTGAAACCACATTCATATACAATGCTTACTGCTTACGTGTATCAATAAAAACAGACATGACTGATTGACTGATTAATACTCATGCTGTCGTTGTTATTCAACTAAAGCGTTATCTCTGCCAACTGTTATTTTGTTTTGCTAGTCGTAATCTGTGATTGAAGGCTGTAATTTTTATTTGATTTATTTGAACATATAAATATTGGTACAAGAGGGCAACAAATATATATGCGCCACACCATATTTGTTAGTGTGTGGGCTGTGATACTGCCCGTGTGCCCAGACCGCAGCAGGCTGTTTTCTTAGGGGGCCACACCACGAGCCTTTGACCTAAAGGTCTGATCCACATGGCAGTGAGAATCGTGAGGAGATGCAATCCCATTATAGCCGGTGACCAACAACTAGTTCACAAGTTATTTGTTTCCTTAGGATCCTGTGTCCCATGTGCACCATTGGTTTGGAATCAGGGTTTTCCAACTCCTCATTTCTCTTCTCTCTATTCCATTCACCTTATATACAAAATATATGTATTTAAAACTCCATTCTCGTTATTTGACTTATCTAAATCCGTTATTGACTAACACGGTTAAGGTCGATGATTATATACGAGGATAGGCGACATATATATTTCAACAACAATCATCATTACGATTTCCTTGGAGTCAGATCTCGGGCCACTAGAGTGGAGAGCCCTTTCGTCAACATTGTCTGATTTAAATGACGACAAAATAACGGGCCTCCATAAAAGTAATTCGAAATGAATACTTAACAATTAGCAATGACAACACGAAATGTTACTCAAGTAATTTTTTTTTCTTTGCTGTTATTCAAGTTGACAGTCTTGCTTTAAAAAAAAGAACAACAACGTAGAAATTATACAAATAACCGATGGTTTCAGAAACTTTCTATCTTGAGCAATTCATACAGCAGGGAAAAAAAAATTAAATCTACCAGTAATATTGAAGTCATAAAGATATTCATCAGAACTTTCAATCTTGAAGTGTATACAACTACATATCTATGTGTATACATACGTATCCATGCAACCAGCTGAAAATGATATCACCAGAAAAGAGAGAAAAAGACTAATGAGAAAATCACTAGATTAGAATGAACGTATTCAAATAAAAAAAGAAACAATAGAATGTGTTACAAAGATATGTACCACTTGATGTCACATTTCAATGATAAGAAAGATAATGGAAGGAATCACAGTTTTTCGGTTGTTAGCGTAATAAGTTAGCTAGAAGATAAGGAGAATAAGGGTAAAGGTTAGTGAAAAATACACATGTTCAACGTTATGATAGTTAAATTTCATTTACAACCAACCAATTTCAATTAAAGTACAAATAAATAAAGAGAAATTAAAGGACAATTTACATTGATCACCCCGAACAAGACAAGTTTAAGAAAAAATGATTATTGTTTTCTCAATATCCAGGATTGTTTTCCAGTTTATGGATTATTTATTGATCAAAAATTCACAGATGCATTGACACATTCTAAACCTTCACGAAGTGGTGGAGGTGTAGCATTTGTTGTTGAATGTTGACCTGTTGTCAGACTAGCGTGAATATTGGCAGTTAACTCTTGTGGATTACCGTAATCATATGATGCACCATTTATGTCCGATGTGAATGCAACTAAATTACGTGATGTGGGCGGAAATATCAAAGGCATTGAGTTGGATTGATCTGCTGACACACTGATATTGTTATTAGATGTGTGGCTATTATTATTATTACTACCGCTGTTGTTATTATTGTAATTCATAGCCTGATTTGAACTTAAAGCAAATTGATTATTAAGCAAGGCGCTTGACAATGAGTTAGTCGAATTAACAGGTGTAAATAAAGATGATGGAATAGTTTGATAATTTGATGCCATATTAAGCAGTCGCTGATAAGCCATAGCAGCAGAATATGCATTCAATTCATTCGGTGAAACTTCTGGAGTGAATGTTCTACAGAATGGTGACACAGACTGACTAGCTGTCAATACATTTAAACCAGTTGTATTTGATGTAGTAGAGTTCAAATTTAATAAGCTTGTTGCTGGTAAACTGGGTGCATTCAACGATTGATGTGTGACAGGTGACATTCCAACAAATGAATTATTTCCCGGTAATACAGTATTCAACCCACTTGTACCTTGTCCGTAGGTGGACATTAAAAGTGCTAATGCAGCTGGTGAAATATTTGGCTGATTTGTATTCGTTGTAGCTGCAAGAGCTGCTGCTGCAGCAGCAGCGGCGGCGGCAGCTGCAGCACCAGATGAAGGATTTGCAATTGCATTTGAATAATTAAGTAAATAATTCAAATTAGCTAGTGGATTCAATGGGAGCTGAGCTTGTAATCGATTATCAGATGTTGGATCAGTAGCTACAGATGATATATGATTAGTTGGCGTTTGTAGTATACCATTCATACCAGGTGATAATGTAGCAGCAGGATTTGGCATATTAAAACCTGTCAATAGACCTGCATTCATTAAAGGATTCATTAAAGAATTGTTAACAACTGCAGCGGTGGCTGGGTTATTATAGAAACCTGGATGACTAGCGTCGATAGGTAACCTTTAGGAAAGAAAAAGATTAATGAGTAAAAAAAAAGTTAAATTCTATGAATTGAAAGGGCATTGAAAATTCAATAGAAACCCTGAATGAACCCTTAAAAACACAAAATTGTAAAAGATACATCTACAATGAATACAATTCGATGTACCTTTTTTGTTTTGTGATTTGACTACACACCATGCATTGATTTGTGCATTCACAACATGAAAAGCTACCAGCTAAAATTGTACACTTAATTTTTTTTTTAAAAAAAGATGCGAAGTTCAATGAAGGGATCTCTCTCTTTTCAACGGATTTATTATCAAGTTGTACAAACGTATATAGATATATGAAAAGTTGTTTGTTTGTTTGTTAAAGTACTAGTGTGATATGAGCCTATTTATTTTAGTTTATTTGAACACATAGATATTGGTACAAGGAGGCACCAAATAGATATGCGCCACACAAGTCTCATTTGATTAGTGTGAGGGTTGAGGTACTGCTCAGCTACCCAAACCTAAGCAGGTTGTTTTCTTAGGGGCCACACCCTATAAAAGGCAGTGGGCCTAAAAGTCTAATTCATAACGTAATGGAGCAACGTCAGGCGATGCAGTCCCATGGTAGCCGGTGACCAACAATTGGTTCATACGTTATTTGCTTCCTTAGGATCCTGTGGCCCATGTGCACCATTGATTTGGAATCAGGGTTTTTAAATCCCCTAGGTGGATCCTCCGTATACACCAACCCGATCAAAGCGCCGGACATTCACTTTTCGTCCTCTCAATTTCGTAAGCAACACTCGTGGGATGAGAAGGAAAAGAGTCGGACTTTCCTGGCAGTGGTTGTATGCACGTGGCCACGTGAGAGCATTTGGGGGAAAGAGAGAGAGAGAGAGTTGACTCTCCCTACTCTCGGCCGTACCAGAACATTTGGTAAGTAGTATATAACGATAGTCAGGAATAGAATGTATTTCAGTAAGAGATTGAGAAGGAATGAACGAAAACGGAAGGCAGTTTATTTAACTTGAGTTATGTCATTCACTTAGAAATAATCAAATCAAATTTAATGTTAACGTAATTATAAATCGTAAATATTGAAGCCCGTAATAATTCAGCATTATGTTGTTACTCATTTGTCAATATTGTTACTGAGTGAACAACCTATGTCTTCTTAAAAGTACTTTATTCAAATGCCACTAAGAGCAGTTAACTAAAAAAAATATACTATGTAATATATTCTAGAGAACCTCGTAATGGCAGATTATTCTGAAACTGTTCCATGTTTAACAATAACTAGGAAACAGTTTGTTATGGTAATATGTGTAATATTTAAATTAAATAGATTGTGTGGTAAAAGAAGATAAAACTATTATGAACTAAGCTAACTGATTAGAGTTCATGGATCAAAACATTGATCCAATATTACGGCGAGACTTTAATTTATGGATGAACCAATCAGGTATAAGATAATAGGTCTCGTATATTGGCGTGAAATTCACTCATCTATTTGGCTAATTACATTCATGGCATTATAGATGATATCACTTCATAACAAAAAGCTTAATCATCAACTGTAAATCATAATTCTAATTCCTTACACAGGTTTATCACCTTCATTTGGTCCTAGATATTAGGTGAACACTCTCAAGGTCAGTCTAACGTCACTCAAAGATCGTACACAAATTATAGTCTCACCGAAAGCTTAGTAGGAAGATAAATCTATAATGATGTATTTGAAACTTGATGAATCTTAGATATAGTCCATATCAAATTGACATGCAAAATAACTGAATTTCTTTGGAAAAAACTAGAAGTTAGTCACTATCATATCAATTGAGTTATAGTTTATAAATCAAATTCATACGCAAATGCCTAGAAAATGATTAATCAGTCAGTATCTTGACATTTTACATATCAATCAGTCTTATTTGTATTAAGCCCTGAAGATCTAGATAGTCAGTCAGTATGATAAAGTACAAAAGACCATATATACTGAGAATGTCATAGTGTAATGTATGTATAATATTAAATAAAGAAACCAATACTGTTCATTTATTAACTTTCATTAAGAAAATGTTAGTAAATTAGCAAAATTCATTTTGATTGAATTGGATATGAAATCACTATTCAATTTATATCGCAGAAGGTATTGATTTTAAACCATTACCACCTCTGTGTGTAGACATAAAACTGTAAGTTATTTAAAGATTCTGACAAACATTCAATGTATATAAAGTAAGTGTTCCATCTTGAAACTCCGTGTGTAGCTGTTCTAGAGTTACTGCCGATCCTAAGCCTGAGTAAAGGAGGAGGGTTGGGCAAAGGGTTAGTGACCCCATTTCATAGGAAACTAACTTGCGCTAAAAAAAGATGTTCCATCTGGTTTTGTAAATTAAAAGTAGTTTCAAATGGTTAGTTTTAAATTGATTATAACTCTTAACCGATGAATATATATATTCAAGAAGGATAAAATACGTGAATCTTAGTAATGAAGTACTTTCTAACATATGGTAACAGTAAAAGAACTGTCCAGTTTGAATAAAATCATCAGTCTTGATCATTTAAAAACAAATAGTGCTTATTTAAAATATAGAAGGAGGTGAAATGTTTTCAAACTATACAGGAATTCCTTACTATACTATTAACAAATATACAGTGTGAATAGAAGCAATAAAGAGAGTAGTCAAAAATATTCGACATCCAAAGTCCCTTCTCAATTTGATTTGATGAAAAGTGTTTCGCGAGACTCTAATTTATGGACGAGCCAATCAGAGGCGTTTTAGAGATTTCGAGGTCACGGCGGCAACTTCAGTGTTTAATGCTAACGTACAATGGGTTCACGAAGAATTTTGTACAAAACGTGATAATTGAGCGGCTATAACAAATAAAACGGCGAGACTATAATTTGTGGACGAATCAATCAGGTATAAGATAACAGATCCCGGATTTGGGCACGAAAGCCTTTCATTCATTTGGCTAAATAGATTTCTGGCATTATAGTTGATGTCAGTTCGTCATGAAAACCCCATATACAATTCCTAACTAAGGCAAATCACGACAATTATTGAGAACTGGATAATAAAAGCACCAGTAACACTGGTTGCAACCAGGTACTACAATATAAACGGATAATTGGAGAGCGTACAGTCTCCTACATAGGCTTGGTTATGTGCATCGTGTCGTTATCCACATGTGGTATTTTGTGTACTCAACAACCGGAGTGCACCCAAGCAATATCGAAGCTATGTGGTCGAAGCTGAAAGAGTTTTTGAGACTTTATCATGGATCCAGAGGCCGACTATTCTGTAGCCGTATGGATGATATCCTCTACTGTATGCATTACGATTTTAGAACCTCTGAACCTCTTTCTAAACTTGACAAGTTCTTGAATCACGCATAAGAAGTGTATCCACTTTATTTTCCTGGTTTTGTATAACATATTTTTACTCTATACTGACTGTTTACTGATTAGCTGATATTTCTCAAGGTCACCAAGGATTCGTTCAAGGGTCGTCCATAAACCAGAGTCTCGCCGTGTGTTTATCTTTTAAATATACAGTATAGTACAATAATCATATTCATGTATAATAAAGGAATCTTTTCAAATTTCATTTCTCAGGATTATTCAATCTTATGTTAGTCTTATGTTGTATGAATTAAACTTCTCGAATAAGGTTGATATTTGTCATGGATATCTACGTACCTTTATTTACGACCGTTTAAAATCAGGAAACAGCGGATGGTCGTTTCGCCCAAGTATGAGAATTTTCTGCAGCGAGCATCCACGACCCAGCATTTGAGAAAAGAACCCAGAACCTTTAGTACCGTGTGGAAAGATTTATTCTCTAGACCACCGAACCAGAATCCAATAGTGTACAATTCTGATTCCTAGATTTTTGATAGTTGCTTAACTTAGATGGGTTCGAGATCTCAATATAAATCTAACAGTCTCCTAACATCTTTTGTGCTATTTATTATTTGATTTTATAAATCTGAGCAATTACTTTCTATATTCAATAATTTAATTTCCATAAACCAATGTACAAGTGAATTCGTTAAATGGTAACATTTAACTATCATTCAAATTTGTTTGGATCACAACGTTATTGATATTGTTGATGGAATTTTCATCAGTCTTGATTAGAATATATGTGCATCTTGTACAGAGTTCTCAGTGGATAACGTATTCGACACTAGAAGTGAATGGTACGGGGTTCGAGTCCCGTAGTGAACATCAACACTGAAATTCATGCATATTCAGTCGATGGGTTTTAAGTAGGACGTGACGTGAAACATAGATTTCTCCACTGGATAGTTTACAAAAATAAGACACAACATGTTGTGTATAAGTTGTTACAACAATGATTCAGATTAAACATTAACACCGTCAAATGCCAGGTCAGCGCTTGCACGCAAGACTGATAGGTCTTGAGTTCGAATCCCGCGAGGCGGGATCATGGATGAGCACGGCTGGGAGTCCCACAATAAGACGAAACGGCTGTCCAGTGCTTCCAGGTTTTCCATGATAGTCTAACTTCAATTGAATCATGATTTCAACTATTGAAATTACTACAATCTCCACAAAACCCCTTCTGATTCAGGTTCTTATTCATAATCTATGATTGATAGAGATTGTTCACTACTACCAAAAGTGTTAACAGTAATAATGATAGTGGCAACAGAGATATTATTATTGATCAATCAATAATCATTATTATTATGGGATAAATGACATGAATGATGTGATCGTTTACACAATTATCATACTGATACAAAATGACACTACAGTGAGAAAGAAAAATATTCTTTATCAAAATAAAAAAACAAACGACAAAACAAGAACACAACTCAAAACACAGCACTCAATGAATTGTGAAGAAAGCAATTGGAATACCAGATGAGTACACACTAATGACAAACAAGAATTATCATAATATACAAATATGACTATTAAAGTTTTCTCGTTTTTTTTGTTTGTTTGTTGGTAAACTGAAAAACACTGAAAAGTATTGAGATAGAGAA